TTGAAAATAAGGAAATCAGAACGGCAGATAAAAGGGAATTGTAGAACATGGCATGTATAGAGAATTTTAAAATCTATTAAAAATAAATTAAATTAAGAATAAAAAAGCAAACGACTGCAATTAGGTTTTCACGCGGGTCACGCTTTGTCCCGCACTTTTTCACCTGTCCCGTCTTGCGTTCCATCCCGCAGCTATTTTGGCTGTCCCAAATTGACAAGTTAATCTTAGTGTAGAGACCATTGTATAAAAACGTGCTTGCAGTATAGTATAATTGAGGAGTCTAGAAGCCAAGGGGCACAGATCCAATTTTAAAGAAAATGGAGTTAAGGGCACTAAGTAGTTGCTATCGAGTCAAATATTGTTGTGGCAGAGGGATACAAGCATATCACTGTACAGTGCTGCAATCTAGCGGATGGTATAAGTACTACCTTAAATATCAGCTGTTGCTTGGGGTACAAAGGGGTACAAGCGTCACTTGTACCCCTTGGCCTCCAACTAACTGTCATCAGAGTTGTTTGTTGTTGAATGTTGTACACGCTTGTCGACACTGTTGCTGTCGTATCTTTTAATTCAAACTTTACCCATATTATTCTACGATAGTTGGCAACTTTAAGAGTAAAGTAACCAAAGTGTTGCTGCCTTAATCGAAATGGACATCGCAAGTATTGTAGATGAAGAAGAACAGGAGTCTCAACATAATCTCTTTAGCGGTAAATGAAAATTCTGTAAAGCCCATAGTTTATGTTTATAAAGTCTATGAATCAGATTATTATCGGATAAAACTGAAGTAGAACTGTTCCGAAGTAGAACCTAAACTACCTAAACCAGGACCATGGAAAGAACATAACAAACACCCCTGTAAGAAGAAGCTGGGAGGTCAGACAATTAGGCACAAAGCAGGCAAGAAATAAAGGGCACCTTTATACTGACCGAAAAGGAACAGTGCATCGAGCAAAGCGTATGTAAGGGTTTAACTATAACTGTAGATACGGTTGTAATACAAATATCCCTAATGACAAATGCCAATCTATTTTTGACAGTTATTGGGGACTTGGAAGCTGGAACCTTCAAACTTCTTTTTTTATATTCTTGCATTAGCCTTCAAGATCCTGCAAGAAAAAACCTAATGCGAGCTATGTAAAGAGAACAAGCTGTACTTACACATTAGAAGGGTATAGAGTATGTAAGGCTTTTTTTGTGAAAACCCTTGATGTCAGTAATAAACGAATTACTAATGTTATAATAAAAAAAATGAGTATGCACAAACTCGGTTTCTCACAAGGACCAAAGATGCCGTAAAGCTCCATCGAATAAAACAACAGATGAAACCATTTACTTAATCAAAGAGCACTTAAAGTTCAGTAGCCATTACTCTAGGATTAGATCTCTAAATGTGAAGTAATTGAGCGTGAGTAATTAATACTAATTTTAACCTTTCACTCAAGAGACCTCACACCGATACGTGTGACAAATGTGACACACTACAGAATATTATGGTGGTGATCTAGAAAATTGAAAAAGAATTACACTTGCGCAAGGCACAAGCTGCAAAAAATGCGAAGGATGATGATAATCGTGGTTGCAACGAAATTGCTTCGTGCCTTTGGAAATAAATCCAGACGCTGCCACCAACCGTTAAGCGCATAATTCTGTACAGTGACAACTGTGGTGGCCAAATCAAAAGTCATTATATTGCAACGTTCTGGCATTATGTAGTCCAAAATACACATATTGATACTGTTGACCAAAGGTTTTTTAGTGGGAAATTCATTCATGGAATGTGACCAAAATTTCGGGATTATATAAAAAGCGAAAAACAGAAACCATCAGCAGGTTTCTAGTATATCAAATCTAGTAGAAAGATGATGACTTTGTGTCTTTAGATTCACTAGAACCTTACTTTAGGAAAAATGTACCAGACATCAGTAAAATGCAGCTTATCCATTTTGAGAAAGCGTATCCATACACACTGTTTTACACAGAAAGCGTCAACCTTCCTACCAGTTGATCAGTTCTGTTATTATTTCTGTAATACTTAATTAAAGACTTTATATTTTTACTTTTCTTTGATAATAAACAAACTAATATGTAACAGAGTCGTTTATTTCAACGTTACTTGTTCTGTTGTGCTTTTAAAAGGTATGCACAGTCTTAAGAAACCTACTGCGTACTCTTAAGACGATGTATTCCCAAGAGTACGCATGTGCACCATTTGAATATTATTGAATTTTTTATGTTTTTTGCAACTTTACAGTGAAAAATTATTGACATTTTTATATTATATTACATATTTAAGCCATTATTTCTTATTTGATAATTAAAACCCAACAATTTATTTTGTAATAGATTTCCTTTCAGAACCTATTCAGGAAAAATTAATGTAAGAATGCTAGAAAACGAAAAAATAAAAAAACGAATTAAAAAATAATGTGGATGTTAATATGAAAAAACACTAGATGACAACAAACAAATTATGGATGTAAATAAAAAGTGGTATAATATAAAAACACATTACTCAAACCAGCTCAAGAAAGTTTGATACAACATAGGTCAGAGGATAAAAAACAGTGGATAACAGAAAAAATACTACTACAAATGGAAGGAAGAAGAAAATATAAAGGAAAAGATCTACAGAATTATAAAGAAATACAACGAATAATTAAGGAAAAAATCAAAACAGCTAAGGAAATCTATTTGATGAATCAATGTAAAGATATAGAAGAACTAAAAACAAAATATGATATGAGAAATATGCACAAAAAAATAAGAGAAGTGACTGGAATGGGTCGAAATAGACAACAAGGAGACATAAAAGGCAAAAAAAGAGTACTACTAATAGATTTACCAGAGAAATTAAGACGATGGGAGGAGTACGTTAGAGAACTTTTCCAAGATGAAAGGTGAAATGCAGAAAATACAAGAATTAAATCCATTAGAGAGACAGAAGATTACGATAGATGAAATCAAATATGCTATCAAAAATTCTAAAGAAAATAAGGCAGCTCGATTAGATGAAATACCAGTAAAACTCTTAAAACTAGTGGAAGAGGATGTAACTTGGAAGTATTGTCAGATTTATTCAACACGGTGTACAGGATACAGGATACAGGAATAATACGAAAAGAGTGGCTGAAGTCAACATTTACCCCTAAAAAACAAACAGCAAAGAAGTGCTCTGATTATCGAACACTGAGCCTCATGAGTCATACTTTAAAAGTACTGCTGAAAGTAATACATAAGAGAATATACGAAAGGCTAGAGGAGGATATTAGCGAGACGCATTTTGGGTTCCGAAATGGAATTTGTACTCGAGATGAACTATTTGCCATCAACATATTGATGTAGCGATGTCGGGATGTAACCGTTGATCTACACTTGTGCTTTGTTAACTACGAAAAAGCTTTCGATAAAGTAAAACATGAAAAACTAATATCAATACTTATGAACAAGCGCATTGACTGTAAAATCATAAATATAGTGCAAACATTTAATTTGGAACCAAAGGACATAGTTCAAATTGATGGGCAACACTCAGAAGAAATGAAGATCTGTAAAGGAGTTAGGCAGGGATGTGTTTTATCGCCATCTGAAGAACTTTTCCAAAACACGGTCAATAATATCAAAACGGGAGTTACCCTTAACGGAAAATTAATTAACAACTTACGATACGCAGACGACACTGTGATCATAGCAACGAGTATAGAAGATCTACAACATCTTATCGAAAGCTTAAGTATGAATCGTGCTGAGATCGGAATTACTATAAACGCTAAAAAAAACCAAGTACATGCTAATTACAAAAAGGCCACAAAATTAACATTGACAATCAATGGTAACGTGACAGAACAAGTAGAAAAATATCAGTACTTGGGAACTTTGATCAATGAAACCAATAATTATACTGCAGAAATAAACAGGCGAATAGAGATTGCCAGATCGGCATTTATAAGAATGAAGCCACTCCAAACGTGCAAAAATCTAAATTTGAAGGTCAGACTACGTACCATTCGCTGTTATATATTTTGAATATTATTATATGGAGCTGAGACTTAAACATTAAAAAAAATGCAATTTAAAAAGAATCAAGGCTTTCGAACTCTGGTTATACGGCAGAGTATTCAAAATATGATGGACTGACAGAATTACAATTAAAGATGTACTGGGGAGGATTGGTAACGAAACAGACTTAATTACCACTATACAAACCAGAAAACAGGAATACCTAGGCCACGTGATGGGGGGGCCAAAATATGAAATTTTGAGACTCATAATACAGGGAAAGATTCAAAGAAGAAGATCTGTTGGTCGAATACAGAACTCATGGTTGAAGAATCTACGTGATTGGTATCAATGCAAATCGATTGATTTATTTAGAGCAGCAAGTTCAACAATAAAAATAGCCATTATGATTGCCAACCTCCGTAGGGAGACGGCACTCTAAGAAGTCTCTCGGATGCTACAGTAACATTTTTGTCGATTCGTTATAATTTTTGATACCGATGTTTTCGCTATATAACTTACATAGCTCTATTCAAATTATATCTGTTGACAGCCTATTTATTTCTAGCACATGAAAGCAATAAATTACCATATTGTGATTTTAGTGATTTTTCCCCTTTTTTATTTCGATTAGTTTATGGATACGGTTATGTTTTTTATTCGTGCTGAGGTAGAATGGGTGCAAGGTGCAATAATTAAAAAATGTGTCTCTAGAACTAATACATATATTATAATTATCGTTCAACTACTTTTTACAAAAAAAAAAATATTTAATAAAACTTTTGACACGTTCCTAGAAATGTTTTTAATTTTTCACTACATCTATGAGTGATAATAGTAATTCGTTTTTTTAATCAGTTTTTTGAATGTGTAAAGCACGTGCTCAGATAGGAACAGTCAAAGAAATATATACCTTATTATCTAATTTCACATACTATAGATCCAATGGGTTCAAGGTTCAAACCTATCATTCGGTACAGAAATGTTAAGAAAAAGAGGGGGGTAAGTAAAGTTTATAATGATTTTGTGCCTGCACTTTTCAGGATCAGTAAACAAGTGCTCTTAGTCGGTACTGTGCAGCATCACACACAGTACAATGAAGTTTTTTAAAGTCTTAACGGTGTTGTTTTTAGTTGCGGGTATCGGGAGTGTGTCTACCGCAAAAGTTCCATCCGTATTCGGTGTGTTTTTTTCGAATACGAACACGAAAAATCAAATACAGGATAATAGTGTGCCGGAAAAAGACGCCAAATCGGATTACTCAGTGATTGAAGATGAATTTACGAAGTTGCGTATTGAGTACATCAAGAATCAAATACTCAAGAAGCTCCGTCTTAAGGAAAAACCTACTATCACTATATCTGAACTGCCTAAACCTGTGAAAGAATATGAAAACCTTCTACCCAGCCAAGACATGAATCTACAAAGTAGTTATTCCGATGATTTTTATGGAAAAACCACACAAGCCATCATATTCCCCTACGAAGGTAACTTTTTTTAATTGAGCACATTTTTGATCGTTTGTTTCACTAAAACCCATTACAAATTACTCTTTTCATTTAAATATTCTCAATTTTTTCAAATTCACCATATTCAAGTACTATTGATATATTGCATTTACACATAACATGCTTTTGGTGTCATTTATCAATCTAAATATTTATTGTCATTAATATCAATTAGCAAATAATCATCAACATGATTTTTGTTAACCAAAAACGTTTTTTAGGAAATCAACCAACTAAGAATCCACCAGTAGCAAAGTTTTGAAGTTGTAAATAAATATTTAACCAATTTGTACATATGTTACATAAATAATGTAAAATATTACTAGTTAAATAAAATAATTAACTTAAAAAAAATGTTTAATTTATTATTTAGAGAAAATGAGTAAATAAAGCAGTAGAAGGATTGTATTAGGCACTGCTCACATAATAAAAGAGTAATTTTTGGGTAAAGCAACGGCCTTCATCTGTATAGTAAAGAGTTGATAGACTATGTAAACAATACAGCAATTATAACATTATGTAATGGCATTTAACATTTTTTTTATTGTCTCTTCTGGGAATAATCCAGAAATTAAAAAAACAAATTTGTAATTGAACTTTCAAAATCGATATTTTTAAAATTAATATTGATTTGGAAGAAAAAAAAACATAAACTTCTTTATTCGTTTTTGTTTTGTTAGAGGTGTCATAAAGTTTTAGAAGAAGTTTTTAGTATTATTACATAATATGTAATATGTAACAATAAATGAAAATTCCCAGTGGTTAGCTCGTTAGCTGCATACCATAATATTAAACAAAAAAGTAGTAAATAAATTTAATGTCATTATCAAGCTGTGTATGTGTGTGCCACAGAATATGAACTCGACGGTATATATAGTAAAACATTCAAATAAAACAACTTTATCATATTATAAAATTTACTTTTGTCTAGAATTCCTTTTGCTTCTTTCCAGATGAGGCGCGTTGCTCTAAAACCATCCGTTTTCCTTCTGCCTGTCTTCCGTTCCAAATGCCAAATGACATTCACACATCTGAAGTCGCTAGTGCAGAGTTATGGTTCCATAAGGAGAAAGATTTCTTGGACGAGCACAATCAGACTTTTGTCATATATGAAGTGGCTCACTGGGATACTAAAAAGAGCTTCCAGAAAACTACCCCCATCGCTATCCAAGAGACTAGTCTTACCGGTAAGTTAAAAGTTTAAATTTAAAGTTAAAAATTCGATAATCGAATAATTATAAAAGATGACTGATTATTATTACCTTTTACAGAGGGATGGTTAAAAATTGATGTGACCTATGTCGTCAAAAACTGGCTGGATTTCCTGGAGTCTCCCGTGCATGCTATTAATGTGGTGTGCAAAACATGCGATATGGAGAAAAACCAATCACCAATATCATTTACCAGTGAGCTCAAACCATTCTTGGTTATATACACCCACTCCCAACAAAGAAGGACGATGACCCACAGAAGGCAGAAAAGATACACCAACTGTGATTCTGGTATAACGGAATGTTGCAGGGAAAGTCTTTACATTTCCTTTACTGAGATCGGATGGGACGATTGGATAATAAAGCCTGAGGGGTACAATGCGTATTTCTGCAAGGGGTCTTGTACGACAGCCGCAGCTATGACACTTAGTGCCTCACAACATAACAGTATACTTCAGGTAGGTTTAGTAGATTTGTTTATTGATATTTTCACAATGTAGACCATATTTTCATATAAACCTTAATTCCTAGATCTAAAACGTAATTTAAATGTCAGATTCAAAAGAATCCAGTCCAATAAACCAAGCTTCAAAAAATCATTTGCATTGTTGATATGAATAATATTAGCATTTTTCTTTTACCAGAGGTCCCTCATCCGTAGATAGTCCATCTAAAATGGCTTGGCAATAAGAGGTTACATTAATATCCTGCTATATTTTCCCAATTTATAATCTTTATGTCATCATTTATATTTCATGGGAATTAATCAAAATTTTAATTGAAAATACTTTTATTTTGTCCTTTTATCCTGAATTTTTATTTTCATGACACTTTCTGAAGTGAAAATCAAAATATCTAAATAAACGTAGGTAGACATTTTAAATTAAAACTCTGGTTAATTTACATGAAATACAGTATAAAACAATATACTTTCTTATGATGGTTGCGAAAATCTCATATTATAATATGTAATCAATTTCGCCTCCAACATTTAATTTCATTTTCTTTAATTTATAGATGTTTCATTATTTTACCATTTAAAGTTTATATACAGACTATTTTTTTGCATTTCTACCGCACCAAACCTTTATTATTCGATTCTATAGTTTTTTTTTTTTCAAGTTCAAATATATATATTTTTTTTTATTTTCCAAGAGGGCCAGAAATAGTTACACAAATAACTTATAAAAAACAATTTCCCGAATCGCTTCGAGTCATATTTTGTTAGACGTATATCATTTTTCATGCTGGTAATTTTTCGAAACATGCTTCTTTTTCGAGTTATTTCCATTTTTTTGTTGAAACAAACCTTGATAAATGACTTTTGGAACTTTTTTTTCTAAAAAACTACTAAATGAATTACAATTCTACAAAAAGCTTTATTATCTTTAAACCTTCACGTACAAGTAAGAATATTTTGACTAGAATAAGTGGTTTCTATCTTGCTAAAAGATGGTTTTAAAGTTAAACAAAGATTTCTAAGCGCGCGCGCGCCTTTATCGCCGCAACCGTACACGCTTTTAATCGTATACAGCGATATATTGCTCGAAATGCATATTCAAAATATTTGGCCTCATGTTTTTAGCACGGTATAAACCATTAATCTTCTTACTTGTAGTTGAAGGTTTAAAGATTATAAACCTTTTAATATAATTTCAATTCATTTAATAGTTTTTTAGAAAAATAAATTCCAAAGATCACAAATTAAAGCATAGCATTTTTCGAAAAATTACCAAGATAGAAAAGTTGTTTATTTCGATGGGATACGCCCAAATTTTTTGTTTTGTTAATAACAATTTCTGATCCACTTGGAAAAATTAAACAAAATTCATTTAAAGCTGAAAAAGATATAAAATTATATAAAAAAAAGGTTTGGTGCGGTAGAAATGCAAAAAAAATGTAGGTTTATGCTCCGCTTATAGAGGTAAACCGCCCGCCTTTAGATTTAAGTTAATCTCACGTTTTCGAGATGATATCACTTTTATTTATACTTGTCCAGTGCTAGACTTTAAACTTTAGAGTTTCCTGACATTTCGAAAGGAAAACGATGTCAAGGTTTGACAGTCACACAGTTGACCTGAGGAAGAAAAAATAGAAATGTGAGGACAATGTATGTTCAGCGTTCTTGTATATACGGTGCAAGTCAAAGTCTAAATGTCGCAGAGATAAGAGCTACATTAATTCTTCGCCGCAATCACGGTTCATAACCTTTTGATTTCATTTGAAAAAGCACCACATCATAAAAATATTTTTGAACATGGAGTACTTAACTACGGTAAAAATATTATTTGTGTTTATTAAAGTTAGTTAGTTTGATATAAACGTGCCAAATAAAAAGGTTATCTACTCCGTAACTTTGGATTATGGCGGAAATGCCACATATATTTGCAAACTATAAACTGATAACACAGTTGAAAAAAGTGTGTAGTCTTCGCAAATTTCTACTTCAAATCGTACTTCTTACACATACCAACAGGAAACTTATTATAGGGATGAATTACGTCATCTATTTTTAATTTTAAAATGTCTTGACTGTTCCTGCTTCCCTTCTGCAAATAATTTTGAATTTTCTCATTTATATTTACTTGTCAATATCTTCTAACCATTTAATACTTATACACAATATCTTTGTTCCAACATCAGTTACTAAAAGCTGTAGAAATAAGTAATACCTACACGCTCTATCATAGTTGTCAAAATTTATCATTTTAAAATCCAAGTAAACAATAGGCGCTTCAAGGACCAAGGATTTAGGCTTAAAAAAAGTATATATTCAGTTCCTCTTCATTTCAGACAAATTGTATAGCAATTGGTATTCTACTGATTGGTTCTGGATGTTGACTACCATTGGATTGTTAAAAAGCTCAAGATTGGGTTATAGTGCATCAAATTCCGAAAACCTTTTATCGAATTCTCTTTTTATTTCTGTAGGAACTGTTGCAAACCTCGAGAAATCGACATCGATGATTTCTTCTTGATTTATTTCCAAACACGCAGTAAATGTGTGAGGTCGTTTATTTTCATGCAGTTCTCGAAAAGATCAAGTTTTTTGCGAAATGTCTCAGTTTGACCAACCAACTGTGATACTGTCTTATCTTTCACCTGGACTTGTATTTACCTGCACTCAACCAGCGTATCTCTGAATGTAGGGGAACGTCCTTGTATTCAGTATTTAATTCCTCCAAGAAAGAGATGAATTTTCGGTGTCGTTGAGCTCTGTTTCCTCCTCTTAAGCTGTTTACTTTCTGCACTACAGTTTTCATAGTATCGTTGATTTTAATTATCTTTCCGCAGAGAGCCTCTCGATGAATAATGCAATGAAACATAACACAGTAAACACCATTTTCCTGCAAATGTCCAGCCAATCTCGTTACGCGTCCCGTCATTGCTTTTGCTCCGTCGGTGCAAACGCAAGAGTGCTTTTGAAAATCACCTATATTTTTCACAGTGTCACTAACTGCTTCAAATATGTTTATACCTTTGGTCCCGTCTTCCATGTGGTGCAGAAGTTCCTCAGTTACACAAAAATCTTCACTGATGCATCTAACAAAAATTAATAACTGATTTTTGTCAGTAATATCAAAATATTCGTCCAGGGCGAAGGATTAGTAGAAACAGTCGACCATTTTTTTAAATACATGAGTATTTAGCTCATCAACTCTTCTAGATACAGTTTGTCCTTGCGTCGTGTAGTGTAATGTACAATTTTATGTTTATGACATTCTTAACAGATTGTTGGACTTGGATAGACCAAATTTGACGAAATGTCCCTGAAGATGCTCTAGGAAGCGAAAGTACTTGGGCAAGATTTAATTAATAAAACTGTGCTCTATATCTGCATTTCATTTGATCAGAAAAAATATGATTGACTTAGTAAATTGATATGCCTGTTGGTAGTTCAGATTTCTTTCCTAGGTGGCGTTAGGAATTATCCTACCGGAAAAACACTGTGACTTGTCGTCCTAACCTCTTATATGAATAGATGTGTAGAACAGTGTGTAAACAAATGATATTTAAAAAATTTCTTTTTATGACTCACTTGACTAATCTTTCTTTTTGTTACAGAAAGTTATGAAAGGTCACGAAAAACGCAGGATTGCAGGACCAGAAATTACACCGTGTTGCGCAGCGAAACAGTTTCAACCCCTGCAGCTTGTATATATGCACAGCAATAAGACGTTAACCACGAAACTATTATCAAATATGATAGTGGAAAGTTGTGGGTGCATGTAACCAAACGAAAAACGTGATAACTTTTGACAGTATTGTGACTATAGTGATATCTGAATATCCCAGTGAAAACAAGTTTTTGTGACGAGGTAGAAGAAGAGTAGTTCAGTTGAAAGTTACAAGTTTTTCGTAAAAATTTCAAAGAAGAAGAACGTATTCGACATTTAACAGTGCATCTTAAACGAATTGGCAAAATAACTAAAATCACAAGGAATCTTTTAAAGTTATTGAAAACAGTTAATATAATAAAAATAATATAATTAACAATATAACAATATAGTTGTTATTGAGTTATTATCAGGAAGATGTTTTCTTTTTTTAGTAATCCCAACAATAACTTTAAAATTCCTTAATAGTATCTCATATTATGGCAGATAATAACGTACGTGCTTATATTTGAGGTGTTCATGTTACATTAGTATGATGTTGCGCCGTTATTTTTTCTGGTTCACTCCGTCTTGTGCATTTGCACATTTAAGTACATTTTAAACTAAATAACTCTGTGCTGGACTGTCTTGAAACATTTTAAATTTTTGAGAATGTTCTAGAAAAGTCAGCTTTAACGCCTGCGGCACCGTGAAATCTGTTAAGGGGCTCTGAAGGAATTGAAATTGTACTCCCTAAATGTTTCAGGTGCATCTAAAATTCCCAAGGCAAACTGTGATGCTATAGGAATTGGCTGGTATGTTCTATTGATCTCTAGAAGACGGGCTAAATATGAAAAAATGACGGCGTGATATCACGACTTATCGTATTCAAAATGTGTCTCAGGGAGTTTCAGGTATAAAAAGTTGATACTTTGTATCTACTATACTTTCGATTTTGTGAAAGTTGCCTTTAGACTTTTTAATTTAAAAAGTGTGAAAGTTTCGAAATGAAAGATATTTCAAATTTTAACTATGTGTAATAGTTAGTAATGTCAAATGCAATGTAGTTTTAGTAAAAAAATGTGTTCTTTCAAGTGAGTGTGATATTAGAGTAATTGCTAGAATATTATTTAATTTATTTTTGTTGTATGAATGTTCGTTAGTTAGTAATAGTTATTTATTTAATAGGCTTAGTACCGTATTTTTATATATTACATATTAAAACATTTGTTTTTACATAACAAATAAAAAAAATTTAATTAAGAACTTGTTTATTTTTGCTCTAGTAGATGATATGTACAAGGTAGATAGTTATCGAGTTTGGGACAGCGTGTAATTTTATTAAAACCCACTAAAAACCATATTTATTTTCTTTAATTACGTTATTAAGAGAGCTAAAGAAAGAAAATATAACGTTTCAGAGTGATAAGAAGCCTGAATTACCATAAAATGAAGCTTATCTTTGATTAATCTATATTCCTTGAATTTTGTTAAAATTTGCTTACGATCCTTCACAAATTGCACTTCGATATCTGCGATTATAAAGAATTGCCTGATCGTCTAGATATACCGAAGATATATTACAAGGGTGTTAGTAGATAGTTCTGCTAGATAATCTATAAATCTTTTTAACGCGCCAAGGAATAGAAATGTGCTTTGAATATCTTCTGCTTATGATGCACATACTTGTGCATCTGCCAGCGCATTTGGCAGTGTTGCAGCTCGTCTCGCTTTAAGCAATGCTGCAACACTTAGAAACTTATTTTTCTCAAATAACGTTAAACTTAAATAATTCCACTAAACAAACACAATAAAGAACTTTGTTTTTACAGACTTTAACTAAAAAATTAATTTTTTATAAGGATGCTTAAGATAATTTAAAATAAACTTAATATTCTCTGCACAAACTTGGCTACCATGGTATCCTCATGCAAGCCTCGAGTGCTTTGAATATCGTATGTGTATGATATAGCTTAGGTTGGCAGCAGTAGCAGTGACGGCAGGTATGTCATCAGTCAGTCAACAGGTTGACTAAGTTATAAAAAGATACATGTTGGCTTTGACTTCGTAAAATTGTAATATGATACCTCAAAAGTGTAGCCAGTTAAATATAAAATGCGGAATTTATATACAAATAGGTTGTTGATTTCCATTTTGTACGAAAAGCCGTCATTTTCAACACGTCAAAATTTTTTATATGGCGTCAAAATTTGTATGTGTGAAAAGGAAAATTAATGGTGAATTTCTGCATAATAAACGAGCTTATAATAAACATCACAGTTTCCAACAAAAGGACACATTTAAAAGTACACCAGAAAAAAAATTCCATTATAAATTGTGTAGTCAGAAATAGAACTAGAATCCAGAGATACTAATGTGTGAAGTGTGCTGCCTAATGTATGGCGCGACCTCTGTTTCAAACTCTGTAAAATCAAAATTCATGAAGGCTGAAAAAAAGAAATCTCTCTCTCCAGTGGCGCTACAGCTCAAATCAAGCCTTGGCCTCCTCCAAACTATGCTTCCAACCTTGCTGGAAGCCCCACGCCAATCTCCTGCAGCAGAGAATTTTGCAATTTTGCGCGTCCGCAGAAAGAGATAATACAGAAGAAAAAAATTAAACAGACGACTTGACAAACTTTGGGCCGATCAGATAGAAGTAGAAAACATTGAAAGGAATAGGAATAGAAAAGAATAAAGGAATATAAGTTTCGCTAGTTCATCTTTGTTGGTAAGTAAACAAATGTTCATGGGGCGTACAATTGGTTGCTGTATAAATTCAACTTCGTATAGAGTGCAGAGCATCTGGTAGACCAGATTCCCATTTAGTAATGTCTAAATTTTTGGTTTTCAATGCTAGATTCACCGCTTTCCATATAACTCTATTGTATCTTCCGAATTGATCATTCCCTTCAGGATTATATGGTGTTGTTTTACTTGAAGATATTCCTTTAGAGTGTAAATTATTAATAAATTCTTGTGAAGTACAGCTAGTTCCCCTGTCAGTATATGCCCTCATTCCATATAAACAAAATAGTTTATTCAAACATTCAACTGTGTGCCTATATATATCCGAACATAGAAAAATACCATGGGAAATCTTCAAAATTTGTAAAATTGTAAGCATAAATGAATTTCTAGAAGAACTGTGTATTTATTACCCAGTATAACCTGACATACTGTATATGTATACTGGTAGAACTGATCTGGAAGCAAATAAAGTTGCCAGAAGACTTGAATGTGGGTATAATTGTACCTATACACAAGAAAGGAGATCAAACAATATGTGACAACAACAGAGGAATAACCCTCCTAAACCTAACATTCAAAATATTGGCATATATTCTTTACGACCGACTATCGGGATATTATGAAGATATAATAGGTAAATATCAGTGTAGGTTTCGTAAAGAAAGATCAACGACCGATCAAATATTCCTTCTAAGGCAAGCTCTGGAAAAAACATATGAGTCATTGATACTCATCACCTGTTTGTTAATTTTAGATGTGCCTATGATAGTGTTGAAAGAAACGCACTGTAAAAGGCCATGATAGAATTCAGCATACCAATACACTTGGTAAAATTTGTGAAAGCAACCCTCGTAAGAGTCGAGTGTAAAGTTAGAGTGCAGAACGGAGTTTCCAGAACGTTCCAGTCTCAGATAGGACTTAGACAAGGAGATAGCCTATCATGCCTTCTATTCAATATTGCACTAGAGAAACCGATAAGAGAATCTGGAATAAAAACTAGAGGAACTATTATTGATCGCAGCGTACAATTTCTAGCGTACGCCGATGACATCGACATTATTGCAAGAAGAAAGGCGGACGTGGTCGAATCATTCAAGGCGCTTGAAGCAGCAACTAAAAGAATGGGACTAGAAGTTAACACTAGTAGTACGAAGGATATAAAAGTATCAAATTATATACAAACAGCACAACCCGAAGATCTAACGATCGGAACATCTACTTTCGAAGGAGTAAGAGATTACCTAGGCTCACAAATTAATCAGAATAATTCAGTATGCTCAGAAATTAACAGACGGATATATCGAGCCTATTATGGAATAAAAAAATTTTTAAACACAAGCCTAGGTCCAAATAGAACGAAACTACAGAACTCTTATCAAGCCCATCCTAACTTTCGCGTCGGAAACATGGATGATGACAAAGAGCGATAAAGAACCTTTAAGATGCTTTGAACGCACAATCCTCCGGCATATCTATGGAGGAGCACAGGGGGCAGATTATGGCGTAGACGCTATAATTTCGAAATTTACCGCTTGTATGACCAACCTGATATTACTAGGTCCATCAAAATAAACCGGCTGCGGTGGTTAGGTCACATAGAGAAAATGAATGAGATGGAGCCGCCATATGCTCCATTTATATACCAATAGATTTTTTATTTATATTTATTTATAACCAAAGAATAGATGGAGTGAGAAGGAGAGCCAGACCCAGAGCACAATTTAAGGATCAGGTGGAGAAAGACTTGAGAATGTTGGGAGTACGAAACTGGAAAGCCAAGACGAAGAATAGGAGAGAATGGAGACTTATCCTTGAGCAGGCCAAGACCCAGCATGGGTTGTGGAACCAATGATGATGATGACTCCGCGAAAAGGTTTGTAAATAAAACAAATGTTGTTAGTATTTTACTTTATTTTTATAAAAATATTTTCATATTAATATTATATTGAATTAGTTGGTAACACTGCTGTATAAATATAGCAAATAACAATATAAACGAAAAGAAACACACTCCGGAAAGTATACAATATAAATAAAAAAAATCGTTTTTATAACATCAAACTCAAGCGGAAATTCAAGTATTTGTAAATAGTGAATTTTTGAAATAAAACTTTTACTGTGTTGTCATGCGATTAAAAAGCTTATTAAACTAATTATATTATTTATTTCTATAAACTTTTAATACGATTGTGGGAAAATTTATGAAGAATATTCACCAAAAAGAGAGACAATATAGAGAAACGGAAAACGAAAACTCTCCTGACTCGAAAACGTAAAGTAACGAACACTGGTTACATGTCTAGCTACTCCTTTAATTTATTGAACAATATTAAAAAGCCAACTACTAACTGCTCAATTTTCCCAACTTTAAACTTTACTAAAAATTAAACCACGAACCTTTAGGCCTTTAAAATCACATGACAATAATAAACTTTATGTTATATAGTACATATTTGTAAAACAATTTATTATAGCACATAATCTCTTTATTTTAGCGTTCTGTAAAAACAGCCCTACATTAAATATACTTACAAACTAACTTTAATACCGCGAATCAGTCTTAGGAACTACTTTTGTAAGTAATAGTTACTGGAAATCCATATTGATCAGCTGCCTATTTGTCATGAATTTTTGTTACTCAACTTTAAGATTATTATAATTAATTAATAATTATGTTACAAGTTTCAAATAGTTATTCAAAACTATTTATTTTCTTGCTAAAAACTAAAATATTCCTGCGTCCTCCGATTAAGTTTTTAATATTTTTGACAAAATATCCAGGATATAAGTAGGTATGGTTGCATAATAAGTAGGACCCAAACAAGGAAATGCAGAACAAGAAATTCAAAATTTTATTTGATGGAAAATCGAAAAATAACTAGAATAATAAGAGAAGAGCAAAAAAGAACTATAAGAGAATGGATGAACATTAGAGCTATCGAAAAAATATGCCCACAGTCATGAAACTGTTTTGTTGCATAAACAACAATTTTAATTGAAAATTTGTTCCCCGAGATGGAAATCAAAACGTCAAATATAACATATTTTCAATTAAAATTGTCGTTTATTACTAATAAATATAGCAGATACCGTAGAAATTACAAAGTGGAGAATCAGTGAACTGCTTGAGTGTAGATTGTTGAAGAAATATTGTAAATTGACCAGTATTTGAAAGAACTACAACATAAAATACTTCACCAGATCCAAGAATGGTTTCTCAATAAGAATTAGACGTTGAAACAAGACTTCGCGACTTATCACAAGGAAAGAATTATTAGAAAATTCTGCCTGGTAATCTTTGGGACCTAATACAATGGAAAATGTTTGGTAATATACCAAAAATCAAAAAAAAAGCAAACAATCTCAAAACTTAAAATTATAATTTTACAACATATGCAAAAACGTATATTCGGTAAGAAACTATTCGATTTTGTTTAGTAAAACAGAATAGAGAAGAAGGTACAAATATGGGCTATGGCAATTAATATAAAATACATACCACCATATATACGTCAATAGCTTACAGTGACCTAGGTCCAGTGACCGTTGAAACAATCACATGTTAAGTGTTGACGCAAGAAATTTTTCACGTATGTTTTTACTTCAATTTTTTTTTTCGGTGAAAACTAAGAATAAATTTAATATTTTATCACACAGCCAAAGGCTGATATTTTCATAATATTTTCAAGTTTTTCTTTTAATTTGTGTTGCATGTTCGTTATTAATATTTGAATATATGTTTGTTTATGTTGCAATATGGGCTAGCGTGGAGCTACAAATATGAGCTAGTCCATATTTGTATCAGTTTAGTCTACAGGGTTTTTTCTTTTCAGAATGCGTAGAAAAAGTATTGTAAGTTCAAAACAACGAAATTCCTGGGATCCAGATAGCATGACATCTGCTATTCAAGCTGTAAGAGATAAAACGATGGGTACATTAAAAGCAGCTAAAACTTCCCCCAGGAAGCATGTCCTAAAAATGTCCCCAGATTGACAGTACAACGGTTAGCAAAAATGACTGAACTCTGCACTGAAGTCCAGATGAAGCAGTACTTAAGAAACTGCAAAGAGAAACTATTCATGGCCCAGATTTAGAAAAATGTTTGGGGACTATATCCTTCAAATGGAAATGAAATTCTATGGTTTAACGTGGACTGATATCAAAAGAATGGCATTTAATCTGGCTGAATCAAATGGATTAAATCATCCCTTTATGCAGTTAAAAAAAGCTGGTAGAGGTTGGCTAGATTTGTTATTGGTGCTTTATAAAGATACATTGGCTTTAAGGAGACCAACTGGAACGTCTTTTGGACGGGCAACTAGCTTTAGCAAAGAGAATGTTCAAATATTTTTTTATCATCTAGAAAAAGCATATGATAAATACAATTCTTCCAGTAATCAGGTTTACAACGTGGATGAAACAGGCCTAACCATTGTGCAAAATAAAATTGCAGCAATACTGGGGCGCAAAGGAAAGAGACAAATCGCATCGCTGACTTCGGCTGAGAGAGGATCATTGATCACTTTAATTGCATGTATGAGTACTGGAGGGAAGTTTATCTCACCAATGTTAATCTTCTCAAGAAAGAATATGAATAGTGCATCTCACTGAAAGGTACTCCTGGATCGATATCATCCTAGTTGTTGAGTGCCGTCTAATATATTGTCACAGTGGTTTAAAACACTTCATAATACCGTTAAACCCTCTAAAGAGCTTCCTGACTTCGTATATTGGATGACTCTTCATCCATACTCCAATTTAGATTGATCGATAACAGATATAATTTCATTAATCCACATTCAACACACAAACTTTCAACCGTTATACAAACATTCATGGGAACGCTCAAGGCAAACTATAGCGAAGAAATCAGAACAATGTTTACGTCATAATAACCGCGCCCTCTCTCATACGATATTGGAAGAACTTTTTGGCAAGAATACCTAAAAAGCGAAATGGAGAAATTGCTGTAAAGGATTCTGCGCCAACTTGAAATTTATCCATTGAATAAGACTGTGTTCACAATGCAGATTTTATTGCAGCAGAAATTGAGAGTAAACAACCACAGCCGTGTAGAACCGCAAAGCTATTGGAACCTGCTATCCAACCAAAAACACCAGAAGCCAGCAAACAATAGTGAACCCAAGTTTTGTAAGTTCCATTTAAAATAATCGTCGCAGTGCCGTCTGAACAGGAAAAAATCTAGAAATCGTGGTAGAAAATCATCGAAATCAACGAAATAACTTTTTCACCTACAAGGACGCATTAGACCAGCAAAACAGCAAACAAAAAGTCAGAGAATCGGCATAAAAAAGAAATTTCTGACAACGATAGTGAGCAGGAATTTCAACCAACTGATGAAGATATGAATTAGGAAGGGATTCCTGGTGTAACGGATCTGAAAAATATGGTTGTAAATTGTATTTTCTGAGACGGAAAATTTTGTGAGGATTATCAAGGTGAAAATGGATTCAGTGTCTTATGTGCAACTTGTGAGCACATATAGATTGTTCTGGTGCGGAAAGAGACGAATATGTGTGTGAATATTGTACATAAAAAATTATAAAATAAAAATAAAAATATTTTTACTAGTAGCCCATATTTATATCATCTTTCCCTTTCTTACTGAAATGACGCCGTGAGTCTTTTATGACATTACAGAAAAAAATATCTTACTAGGCGGAAAAATGGAATAGCACAAAAGAGCAAAACAATTCTACATGCAATTATGTAATTTGAACTTTTTAGATCAAAAAATAGTCAAGATATCAGCAATAAACAAAATGGTACCCTATATTTGTACCTTCTCCTCTATTATTGTTCTTTATAAAAGATAAACACTTATTATTTTGTCAAACTCAAAAGTAGTATATGTATATATTATTTTTGTCAAACTCAAAGAAAAACGACGTATCAACGTAAGTAGAAATGGTGGATCCAAGGAAACTCGCTAACATGAACAGAATAAATAAAAGAAAGACCAACCTGTATAATATATGCGAAAATTAATCGAGGAAATCTTTTTCAAGACAAACCAAGAGAAACCATTAATTGAAGGGGCAAAAATATACGAATGTGGGGTTAAATAAGCGTGGAAATAAACAATTATTGGGGGAGAAGCAGAAAAAGTTATTTATTTTTTAAAAAAATAACAAAAGTTCATGGAAATCCCAAATACCCCTTGTTGTCATATTAATAAGTAGTTTGCAAAAAAAATCGAAAGACTAGTACATACAACAATGTAATATTATAATAAAGTTATTATAATTTTATTAAATTAAATTTTAAGCTAATCTGGAATGAATAGGCAATCTTTATATAATTTTTGTGATGTTAATTTTAATGTCGAAGTTAAATCAAATTAACTAAAACAAAAGAAACACTGTGTAAAATAGATACATCAATTATATATTTAAATAGAACTGATGAATTTATTGTGATTCTGCTGGCGTGCAATAAGTTCCAATACAACCTTACCACATTTGATACTCTTGAAATAGGTAACGGCCTCATGATGAGACAGTCCACGAAAAGAAGTACCATTTACAGAAATAATTTCATCTCCTAAAAAAGCCAATGTTAGTTTTGCAAAAGAAACGTAAGTGTAACATGAACAAGACGAAATGAAACTGAAATTTCACTAATATACGAGGGAAAAGAATTCTTACCTTCTCTAATTATTGCAGAATCGCTCGCCTGGCCAAGTTTAAAAATAGTTTTGACATAAACTCCCATTGGTCCCTTTGGTGAATCTTTTCCTCCAACAATGGAGAATCCAAGCGATTTACATCCCGGTCCTTTCTGGAATTCAACTGTTTTATAACCGGGCAGAAATTTTTCCATTTTACTGCATTCTCCTACGTCGCTAGGTTTCCTGGTGTACAGGTCTGACGAAATGGAGAACTTCCTCATACCTGTGATGGATTGATGATCAGTGTGCTTTTTTTGCCGGTCAGGTAAGGGTTTCTTGAACAGCTCGTCGTCTTTGAAAGGTATGGACTTCTCCGTAAAGCTTACTTTAGTTTCTACATCTTCGTTACTGCTGTTTAGAATATCAGATAGTCCAACATATTTCTTTTGTGGTGTGTTATTTAGGTTTAGTACGGTTGATAAGCTGCATTTTGGGGCACTAGTTGTAAAACTATCCTTATAAATTGGGTTATTAAAATAAGTTAACTCTGTCGAAGAATTATCTTTATATCTTAAAGAGCTGAAACTAGTACTGGGCATTTCTGTCGATATATTAAATGTTTTTCTTTTTGGACTGATCAAAGGGATCCTTATTGTTGTCACAGTGTCCGGTTTTATTTTGATAGCGCCTTCTTCTAAGCTAGTAGGTTTTTTCTTACAAGTAGGTTTGCTGAGTATTTGGGAATGTGTTCGGCATACAATTATTTCAACTTCGCCATTTTTTGGTTCTAGGTAACTTTTAGCTACGCCTATAGGGCAACCTTTCATTCTATGTCCGTTTAACTTCACTACTTCGTCTCCAACTCGTAAAACTCCATTTCTAAAAAATAATCACAATATTATTAAGTTTTCTTAATAAAATTCATTTTTTTTATCTAGTTAGTAACAATTTAAAAACTGTGACTCAAGGGAATGTGTTTTTAGTTCTAGGAAACATGGAATGTTTTAATTTGTTTAAAAATCACAGCTACTGTGTTTAAAACAATTAAAAATTAAAGTTGACGCCATTCAATAGTTAAAAGCCTATATTTTATGAGAATATAATTTTTATTTTTCATTTTTATAATAGTATAAGAGTCGCTTGGGCCACACGGTCAAAGTCCAATTCTGTCAAATGTCGGTAAGCATTTACTTAATGTCACATAGATGTCACATTTAAGATGCGTTCTGCGTCAACTGTCACATAAATGTCACATTATATGACACATATAATATTTATTAAGTAGTATATCTATCTACTTCCATTCTTATGTGTACCTCATCTCCTATTTTATATATAAATAACTAAAAAAGCACATAATAGAAAAAAAATTAGAAACACATAAAAAAAAGTATATATTAGAGATCAATACTAGTATTAAATTTAGATACTAGATTCGAAACAATGATTGATTAATAAATGAGTAAAATTTGTAAGATTAAACGTATCTCGAAAAGGAATGACCGATTGGATCTTAGGAAGTCAAATTCGATTTGTAATTAAAAGAGCTACAATTATAATACAGTTCACTTGAAAAAAGAACATTTTACAAAAGTTATTTCAGATATTAAAAATGGCCAAAAATTTCGTCATTTAATTTTGCAAATACTATGAAGTCAAATTTAATGTAGCTTAAATTAAAGCTTTCTTATGTACTTTCATTCAATATTCTGCTCATTTTACCCTAAGATATTGATTTGGGACCAACAGTTTGGGAGTTACAAACACTTGGAGATTACTCCAGGCATTGCCCTTTATATAGCTGTGCTTTCAAAAATTCACTAATAGTCAATTTCTATGAAACAGTCCGATTGTATGCAAGAGTTGTGTTTAGTTCCAGGCGTTTTTCCGATCACGAATAGTGATTTTTGGTATTCCTACGACCAACTCTGTACCAAAGTATTTTGTAACTAATTTTTTTATGGCCCTTTCATGTATTCCAGTGTGAGACTATTATATTCCCACAGTCTATCGAGATCTTCTCCAAAAATCAGGTCCAAAAGCTAAATTTTAAAAATGAATTCCTGACAATTATGTGAAAATTGTGAAATATATGTACTTATACATGATATAATAACAATTGATGTTATCTCTTCTCCATGGACAACCCGCCTACTGACCATTGACCGAACATTAAGAAAATACCCCAAATCAAATACAAACTTCTCGATAATTAAACATCTTTTTGCAGAAATCATATCTCATTACCTTAACTATTTACAAATCTTTACCGACGCCTCTAAAACTCCAGATGGACTCGCTGCTAGTTACGATTCTGATGAAGAAAATTCCTACAGCAAACACTTACCTACAAATTGTAGTATACTCACAGGCGAGACCACAGCTATATTAAAAGCCTTAACTTTTTTCAAAACGATTAACACAATGAAGTGCGTCATCATTACAGATTCACTTAATGCGTTATTGAAATTAAAGCAAATTTATACAACAAATTCCATTATACAAACAATAAAATTAGAAATACTTTATTCAATGGGAAATGACACAGCTTTCATTTAGGTACCATCGCACACTGAAATCTGTGGAAATAAAAAAGCAGATCAACTAGCAACTACAAGCCGTATCAACTTAGAAGATTCTACAAAAATTACAAAATATCCTTATAGTGACATGAAACATCTGATTAAAGTTCATTGCCATAACATTTGGCAAAATTACTGGGAAAATTGAGCAACCAAATTAAACCCAATATGCCCAAAGGTGAACAGCTCTTTGAATAACTCCAGAAGGTTTAAGGTAAACCAGATCAAGTAATTATAAACCGTTTTGAGAATTGGTCATACTGTTGTCACACAAAATTTTTAATCAATAAAGATCTACTTGCAACAACTGCTCCATTTCATTGACAGTGAAACACTTCCTGCTTGATGAAGTTTTCAAAATCAAAAGAGAATGCATGGAATTTCAGACGACCTCAAAGCCATCCTGCCAGATCAAAATTTACAAGTATTTAATTATTTAAGAGATATAAAATTTCATGTATTTTCGGTGAAGATTTGACAGCGCACCACAGGTTTTTAAAAAAAAACTAAAAAAATCACTTTTTTACCTTTTGGCAACGGAATCAGGAACAATATCAGTAATACTATAGCTAATCGTGGAATCTCGTCCATAATTTGGTCCAATTTTGATTCCCAAATGTTCATATCTTCCAATTTTTAGTTTTATACATTTATACTCCTTTTCGAGGTGTCCTACATTTGTAGCACCTTGCCTCTTTTTAGCTTTTACTTCAAAATTTTCAGTATTTAATTTTAGTTTATCACAGTAATTTTGACTCAAATCTTCAATAGATATTTTGTGTTTATCTAGCGATTTTTTACTTGGAGATCGTTTGAACTTCACAGATTTTCTTTTTGATAATGAATCGTTGTCTTCGCTTCTAGATCGTGATCTTTTCTTAGACTGTTTTCTAAATTTCGAATTTTTTGTTATAGTCATTTCGCTGTCGTCGTTATCTTCCTCTGCTGTATCGGTATCGTCGTTGTAATAATCACTAGTGCCAGCTGTCGAAGTCTCATCTCTTTGGTCTGTACATACGGTACTATTTTGAGATTTTAAAGATCCTATGGGAGAGTCAATGCTAGTTACAGTTTTTGTTGAGTCGCTTCCATAACCACTTTCGTCTGATTTTATCTTGTTTGGTAGTTTAGGGGAACTATTAGAATGAGATCTTCTACCAGGGATTATAAAATTAATCAAACTCGTCAAACTGTCCGTAGATGAATTTTTCGGGTGAAGCTTTAAGTCACCTTCATCGTCAGATTTACTTGAAGATCTCGAAAAAATTGATTTAAATTTGGATGCTCTTGATCGTTTCTCTTCTGTTAGCATTCCTAGTCTCTTTGGTTCACGCCTAACTGGTTCTTCGGTTATTTCAGTGAATATTCTATCCAGTTCTTCTGTATTCGGTTTCATAAGAATAAGGTAGTCCAACAGCTGCTGCTGACTAAGCTCTAAATTATCAGATATACATCTGCCGCTTCTTTTGCTTCTTATTATCTTCTCGCTTCTATCTCTGTCGCTCATGTGTCGATACATGTCATATATTTTTCTTAAGTCGGATTGTGATAAATTTAACTCAGATTTTTCTACAGAAGTGTGGGATGTGTCGGCGGATTTAGCTTCGTGTTTCTTTAGCGGATACCACATCTTCTTGTTCGTTGGCAATTGTTCAGAAGAATCGCCTCGTTTAAGCTTGTCCCAAGTTCTTCCCCATGCAGAAAGATCTGAAATAAAAATAATAATATATTATTCAACGAGTTAATATTAGTGACTTTTCATGGGGATACACTTAGCTTAAAGAGATGGGTAAAAAATAATTTGCAACGCATTCTACAACACATATACAACATGTATGTATATAAATTATGAACTAGACATGTAGATAACTTGGTCACCATCAATGTAATGATCCAAAAAGTAACAACATATAAATAATTAAGAACATAGTTAACAAGTTAACGAAAGATGGAGATCAGACAAAAGCAATTGCATTCAAAATAGAAACTGCAAAACACTGACTTACACAGCACAGTAGTTACAGAAAAAATCTCACGGTGAGTCTTTTTTATTTTAAAATATCATGTACTTAATTTCACTCAAGAAATGAGAACATTAGTTTAAAGATTTATTATCCAAGTGGAAAGCACACAAAAGATAGTGACAACTGACAATACCATTCCCATCGTGTCTCAAAAAGAGAGAAATACCAGGATATATAAATAGCATATACACTGAGATGCAAAAAAATCGATCTATGGGTATTATTTGCTGAAAAAAGAAAACGTTTGAAGATATTAGTTTTAAATCAGATATATGTATATGTATTAGGTAATAATTTTTACAGATTATCCAAAAAAATCATTTATTTTTAAAGACATACGCCAAAACTCAAAAATACAAGAATATTCAAAACTTTCTGAAATTAAGAAAAACATTGATAATAAATCAATATCTAGTGTTTCCGCCTCGGGCCCTTATAACAGCCTGTACACGTCTAGGCATTGAGGTAATTAACCTCTGGATATCAAATTGATCCAATTGGTCCCATATTTCTTGAAGAGCCGCTGTAAGTTCAGCCAAGTTGTTTGGACGTGCTCCGTGCTACTCGTACTCGAAGACGTCTTCCCATTATATCCCATAGATGTTCTATGGGATTGAGATAGGGACTGCAAGCTGGCCAGTTCATACGGACAATTCCCACTTCCTCTATACATTGGTTGACGATTCTAGCACGGTAAGAACGCGCGTTGACGTCCATAAAAATAAAATTAGGTCCAATGAAAGGAGCAAAAGGTACCACATGCTGATCTAAAATACTTCTTATGTATCTTGCAGCAGTCATAGAATCTCTATCTAAATAACTAAATCAGTATGGGCTTCTGAACTGATACCAGCCCAAACCATAACGGAGTCCCCACGATAACTTATTCTTTCTGCAATATTACATTGAAAATATCGCTCTCCGTGTCTTCTCCAAATCCTTTCTCGGCCGCCTGGTGACCTTAGACAAAATCTGGACTGATCTGAAAACAATACACTGCTCTAATCTGCATCACTCCAGTTTTCATATTCTCTTGCAAAAGCAAGGCGAGTTCTGCGATGTTCTATGGATGGTATTGGAGATAGGGCTGGCCTTCTGGATAATAAATTACCTTCTACAAGTCGTCGACGAACTGTCCATCTTCTTACATCCACATTTCTCACTTCGCTCAGATGATTTGCCAGTTTAACTGAAGTTAGATGCCGATTTCTCAAACATGATGAGACCAGAAATCGATCATCGATGTTACCCTTCTACGACCTGATCCTGGCCTTCTTGTGAAGTTACCGGTGTCGCTAAAACTTCGAACTGCTCTTTGAACCGAAGATCGACTAACACCCAACATTTGAGCTGCATAATATTGGCTACGACCATCTTGAACTAAAGTCACCTTGCAGCATCTGTCGGAGTTAGAGACATTTAGGAAGATAATTAAATAAAAATATAACCCGTTTTGAAAATAAAATCACGTGAATTAATTAAAAAATTTTGAATTAAAAACAACATTAAATAAATATCTACTTTCTTCAGACCGTTTTTGACAAAAACCTGGAATACCGATTTGTTTTAAGAAATATAAAAAGCAATATTAAAAATAATATTTTATTTCTCGTATACGAGGGTACACCTAAATTTACATACGTAATTTAATGTCTCTAAAATTATACAACTTCAAATAAATGAGGAATGGATCGATTTTTTGCACCTGAGTGTATATGTAAAAATAAATGTAAAAACTATCGAGACATCGCTGTAATGCAAAGTATATGCAATTTATATGGAAAGTCTTGCAAAAATATATAAAAATCGCGAAAGATTCCAGAAACTTTAATATGTAGGTTCGTTACACATACTGCTTATACAATGAAAGATCTAAGGCAAGAAAAACATTCGATAGGAAAACATCTTCAAAACGTTTTCGGTCCAGTCGGACCATCATCAGTGAAAACCATTTAAAGTAGTTGAAACTAGTTACGAAAATAGGTGTAGAAACCTTTGGATTACATGACAATCATGGTTAATTGTAATAATGTGACACAAGGTCAATGTTATAGGATTTCACATAAAGGGAACGTACGAATCTTCCCTGTTCGAAATAAGACGACTTTGTCCAACGATTAGAACCAGCCAAACAGCCTCAGTTGGGAAGATGTATGTTCCCTTTACGTGAAATCCTATAACAGCGACTTGGTGTCATTGTATTATTACAATTAATCATGGTTGTCATGTAATCCAAGGGTTTCATGTATTTTCGTAGCTACTTTCAACTACTTTTAAAATGTTTCATTGATGATTGTCTGACTGGACCAAAAACGTATTAAAGATTTGTAATCCTTTTGGATAACTATCCTTTTGGACAAATCTTTACTTCTTTGTAAGTTTTTTAAGAATATAAAAATTACTATGAATATTATGTTGAACAGAAACTGAAAATGCACATATCTCAATTATATTATTTTGTACAATTTTTAGAGGTTCTTTAAAAAATAATAATTGCTTTATATTAAATATATTAATCAAGCATCGATTAATATTTGCATTTTAATGATCGTAAATAAAAATACACCTTTTTCTTAAACACAATTAGCAGTTTGATCAAAACAAGTATATTTCTTTTTTTTACTCAAAATCTAATTGCATTAAAACAACAACGTGGGTTTTGTACTCCTTAAGCTTTCTTACTAGGGCGTATTGCAATATAGCAAGCGATTATAAATCTATCACCATTATTTATATTGTTACTTTATTGAGAACATGCAGAAAATGTAAAGAGAGACAAAACTTACCGATGAACAAAAAAAAACAAAAAACATCGAATACTATGTGAACGCGAATTTTTTTTGCAGATATTGAGAGAAAATCAGCTATTATATAAAATACTTAGTTTGTGGGATGTGGGGACAATACTATGAGATTTTCTTCATAATTTTCAATTGTCTTGTCAAAGAGATTTCATTACTATCATAGTCATAATCATACGAGAGGTATTTATAGGTAAAAATTCATTATTGCTGCTAAATATTTAACTATTTTCGTATTTGCATCTATTATATTAACAATTTCTGTTATTCTATAATAGAGCTGTAGTACTTATATGGTGGAATGTGTAGACAGAGTGGTATGCAGAAATATTACAAGAAAAACTTACGGATGTAACCTAAAAATGCAGATGTAAATTTACGTGATGAAATATTGGGATGTCAGAAGTATCAAAAAGAAGTATCAGTTGAGTCCATGGTTCTTTAACCGTGCGTCATTAATATCTTGCGAGATAAAACAGATACTTTTTACCTAGCATTATTGTCTTCCACGCATGAAACTAAAGACGAACCAGCTACCGCCTGTTATTAAGTAAATAAACATGTTATTTTTATGAATCCTCCGCCTGAGTTGTCTGATGGGTGGATTGAGTAGCTCATCAGATGACACTGCCGGTCTCAAGCCCGGATAAAGGAGGAGGGTCCCTAAGGTGAGGTTAGCCACCTACCTGGGGTAAAGATTCCATACTGTCTCACAGAACTGAAGATACAGCCTCGTATACCGGACGGAATTATCAGACGACGACACGCTCCATGAAAACGGAAAAACGAATTGGTAAACGAAAACCTAAACACCCCATCACACGAATCGCGTGATGGAACATAACGTCGTGGAACGGAAGAGACCGGGATATGATAATAGAAATGAAGAAACACAATATTGACATCTGTGTGATCTCCGAAACAAAGAAAAAAGGCCAAGGAACATCAAAATATGCAGAGTTTACACTCATATACAGCGGAAAAGCTAAACAAGAAAGAGCACATTCAGAAGTTGGAATTTTGCTGCACGATAAATACACGAAAAGATATCGAATACATCAACGATAGGTTATTAAAATTATCTATAAAAATGCGTAACATCACAACACACCTGTTAAGCACATATGCCCCAGATATATCTAAGCCCACAGCAGAAACTGAAATTTTCTATCAGCAACTACAAAACTCCGTAGATAACATAAACGCAAAACACATTATCTCGTATTCGGGGATCTTAATGCACGGATCGGAAACGATGTCATACCAGTTATAAAACAAACGTACAACGAAGAAATAATTAATGAAAATGGCGAAGTACTAATAGACTTTTGCGCTAGAAATGAAATGAGAATCAACAACACATACTTTCCTCATAAAAACCAAGATTAATACACTTTTAACAATCATCGAGGCCAGCGATCAATGATAGATTTTATAATCACAAATCGAGTGATAACACCCTTACAAGTACTTGATGTCAGAGCCCTAACATCTGCTAACCTGGGGACCGATCACAACCTTGTTTTATGCAAGATGCTACTAGAACGTCTACAACGAAACAGAAAACTCACAATGCTCATCGAAAAACACAATAGAGTCGCTAGCAACAGACAGTACAAAACTCACTTCTCTTTATGAGAATAGGATTACCAGCAAACTAAAAGAGATGGAGTTACAACCAGAATTGGGAGTAGAAAATACTTGGCAAAAAATCAGGAAATGCATCAACCAAGCAGCAGAAGAAGCAATTGGCAAGCGAAAAATTAACACGAGGGCGATAAACCACACCAAGCCGTGGTTTTGTCAAGAGGTAAAAGAACTCTCTGAATTAAAACGCAAAAGCTACCTGAGATATAAAAGCACACAATCGGAAGAAACTCTCGCAGAATATGTCCAAGTAAGAAACAAAGTAAACGCAAGAATAAAATCAATCAAAAGAGAATTAGAATTCTAAAGATTAGAATCTACAAGACTTGCATATAACCGATTATGACATATGGAATAGAAGTGCGCGAGGATACCAACAAAACGAAGCAGATCCTAAGTATTGCCGAAATGAAAACCCTAAGAACAATAGTGGGCAAAACAAGAAGAGACAGGGTGAGAAATACAAACGTTAGAGAGCAAAATCAAGATATTGTAAGATGGGGAAGGCAGCGAAGTGGATGTGGTACAATCATGTAAGACGAATGGATGAAAATAGACTCCCAAAAAATGCCCTAGAAAACAACCTGCCCAGTTCAAGATCCCCGAAAAACCACCTAAAACATGAAGGGATAGTTGGCAATCTATCCCAGGAAATTAACCAGAGGCAGCTTCAGAATTAAACAGATCGAAAGATCTCCAAGAAGTAGAAGAAGATTTTTATGAACCCTCTAGAATCAGTACATGGAAGAGAGATAGGTACAAAAAAGACACTTGGAGACGTTTTTAGATTTTAAATACAATTTGTGATGTTTCTGGTTTGTTTCCTTGTGGCTGTCAGTTTTGTTAGATTTTTTGTCCTATTTTTGCAGTTTGAAGTTATTTATATTACACAAACAGTTGTATTCACAACTAATTTTATATTGGAGTTTTATCGTGCGCTTGTTGTGTTTGTCTTTTCTTAACAATTTTTCTTCATTTATGTGTGGAAACATGGAGTGTTTTGCCATGGGAATAATTTATTTTTATTGATTATTCTTTCGCTGAAGAACTTCTTTAGCTGAATCTAAGATATTTGTTTTAATGTTTACCCAGAATTCCGGTACTTTATATGATATATGTGTACCTGCTTCTTTCTGTTTTACTTTTTTTGGAATAGGTGTGTCCAAAACTTGTTGTTAGCTTTCAACTTTTATCTACGTGGTGTATATAAATTTGTTTTCATTCGGATTTTGTATAGTACCAATTTATGATCGATTACGAAGGCTGAAAATCTATCGTGTATTGTTATTTATTATATTATTTCTGAGTTCTTCTCTTCTATACATTAATACAAGTTCTCACGGCATCATACTGTAAGATTTACCATTAATATTTTATCCGCTAAGACAAGTATTGCATTCGGTATATAATTTTGCTACATTTAATTTAGTTTCTTTTGCTGTAGTTGATAATGAAACTTACACTAAACTCATAGAACCAACACAATAGCTATTTCGAGCACAATCATTATAGTCTGTAATTTAAATATAGGTGCATTGTAGTATTTATGACCAATAACCAATAATTACAGTTAATTTAGATAAGCAGCAAATAGGTTTATTCAGAACAAATATTTTCAATACAATTAAGTCAATATTTACAAGAAGTATGCAAATGAAGTTAACTTAAAAGTGTTGATAAACAATTGGATTAATATTTTTATAAATCCACAAAGGGTAGCAACCGATAGGCAAAATGCTCTCACTACCAGAATTCAATTTTTTTACGTTCCATGTAATTAAAAAATAAGGCTCAGCGCAATTTTTAGGCAAGGCCATGGGATCAGATAAAATACCTACAGAAATCTTAAGAATATTAACAAAAAATCATATAGGCACACTAATAGAATTATTTAATGACATTTATTATACGAGAGAGATACCGAAATAATGGTAAATATCAATATTCATTCCAATACCCAAAAAATCAAACGCAATGAAGTGTGAGGAACACAGGACAATTAGCTTGATGAACCATATTCTAAAAGTGTTCTTACGAGTGATACACGAACGTATCTATAAAAATATAGATGATAGAATAGCTGAAAACCAATTGGGATTCAGAAAAGGCTTTTGCACCAGAGAATCATTATTTACTGTATAAATCAAACGATGTCGAGATGTCAATTGCGACGTATTCATATGTCTAGTCGACTTCGAAAAAGCTTTCGACAAAGTACAACACCAAAAAATGGCAAAAATACTGCAGAACACAGAATTAGATGACGAAGACGTGAAAATCATTGCCAATCTATACCGATATCAGTAAGCCATAATACGAATAGACCAACAAAAATCGAAATTAATACCTATAAATCGTGGAGTAAGACAAGGTTGTGTGCTTTCCCCTTTACTTTTTAATATCAATTCAGAAGAATTGTTTAAAGAGGCATTAGAAGACGTAAATAAAGGCATATTTATTAACGGAGCACCTCTGAATAATCTTAGATACGCAAATGACACAATACTCTGACACACTGAATACAAATAAAACGAAGATAATGGTGGTAAGCAAGAACAAGATTAAGAAAGACAGTGTTTATACTAAAGGAAAACTTTTAGGCAGGGTGCACAGATATCAGTACTTAAGTTGCGAACTAAATGAAGAATGGGATAGAAGTACGGAAATAAAACGGCGTATTGAGATAGCTAGAAAAGCTTTTAGAAGATAAAAGCAATATTATGCAATGGAAAACTTGACATTGGAATTAGAACTAGAGTATTGAGATGCTATGTGTTCTCTGTCCTGTTGTATGGAGTTGAGATCTGAACAATTAAAGAGGCTACAGAGAAAAGATTCGTTAACTTTGTAATGTTTTGTTATCGAAGAATGTAGAAAATATCTTGGACACAACATATAACAAATGCGGAAACGCTACTAAGAATCAAAAAAGATAAATACTCAACACTATAAAGAAAAGGAAAGTAAGCTACTTTGGTCACATACTAAGAAACGAGAAATACGAATTGATGCGGCTGGTCATACAATGGAAGGTGGAAGGTAAAAGAGAACCGGGGAGAAGACACACGTCCTGGTTGAAGAATTTGAAACAAAGCAGTGGGAAAACGTCAATAGAACTTTTCAGAACGGCTGCAGAGAGAGTCAAATGGGCCACGATGATCGCTAATGTTCTTAGGAATGAGACACGTTAAGAAGAAGAAAAAATGGACGAAACATCTTTAAATCCACCAAAAACCATGTTTTTCGCGGTTTTTAAGTATTTTGACGGAGTTAATCATATTTTTTGGGATCGACACAACCTGAAAAATTTACGTTTTGGTGGTAGGGGGGTGTCGGGCTAAAATTGCAATGAGCCCTATTTTTTTATTAAATAAAACGTAAATGGGGTTCAAAGGGAAAGTGATGCGCAATATGAAATGCTGTCTCCAGTTAGCATTATCTAGCCTCTCCTAATCAATTCCTATCCTCACCTCCACGAAGTGCGGCTTTGGCTGCACGGGTGAGCCCTGGAAAACCTGAGCAACATTGTTAAAGATTGGGTAACCAACCCCAATGGAAGGCAGGGTCAGGGCTAACCCTGGAAGAAGGGAGAAATGGTTCTCCGAAAAGGGGGTTGGTGAGCAAGGTTAGTAGAACGATGAAAAATTTAAAATATTAACAGGTGGATAGAAACGAGAAAAAAAACTGGAACGAACATAAAAACCGAATAAAACTAAATAGGTTAGCGAATATCTGTAAAAACAACAAGCCGTATAGGTGGAAAGATAATTTACAGTCAAGAAGAAGTAAAAAAAATAAAAAAATTTAATTCTGAAAGTGAGGGCATTTTGTCTATCTTAACGGGGGGTACCCAATGGACGTAACCATTCACAAAACATCAAATTTAAACCACTACACTAATTTTTTCGTACAGATAATTAAAGATACATTTAGAACTATAAAGTAATTGATTTAACATATAGTTAAAGTACATACTTTGTTTCTTGTAGACAATAGGACCATTTGTAGGTTAATAGAGGACAATAAGAGGCAGACCAGGAACAATAAAGACACCGGGAGCTGTGTCCCTAATGCAAAAGTCTTACCTGAAGACAATTAAAATAGACGGTGATAGAAAAGTAAGCGAAAATCCATCAAATCTACACCGCTGGAATAAAAAGATGAATACAGCAAATCAGTTATTTATAACTTTTAACTTACCAACAGTGTATTTCATTTGTAATGCAATAAAACCACAAAAAAATTCAAATATGCACTATTGATCTATTAGACAACAGATGCTCTAACAACTAAAATGTGTCTGTAATATATTAACTGTTTTATTATACTAATAGTATTAATCATAAATTTAAGTAAATTAGTCAATCCCTTCCTGTAATATTAACTGATAAGAAGCTTATCTACGTGATTACTGACCACTAAACAGACACTACGGCACCATCCACCTCCGAATTGATAAACCCGATATAGTTCATTTCAGCGTTCTTAAAATTAATTTAGATGAAATTATAGGTGATGGGTTAAAAATAAAGAAATAAAGACAATGCAAATGATGGAAGTTGTAATTGAAAACCAAAAGATTTACTTCAAAAAGTATCACATCAAATCAAAATCAAATAATTTTAAACCGTACAAAATCCAATTGACCCATATTTTAATCAATTGTAAAAATAAAAAGTCAAGTAAAAAATGAAAAAAAAATAATATAGAATATTACATGAAAAATGAAATTAACTCTTACAGGTTTACCTGCACCTATCTTTTGCTTCTCACGTTCACGTTAAGAACGCTGAAATAAACTATACAACAATTAATCATCTTCTGGAATCATCACCCACAATCCAATTTAAAATATTTTCAAGAAAACTTACATGATTTCGAAGCTTCTTCTTCGTTGTCGGTTCCATTATTTTCAGAAAGTGTTGACAACCGTTCCAGTTGTGGATTTGGGTCCGAACTTCGTCGTTTAAATAGTCTCATCTCGGTCACTGGAACAAAAGTTAATATTACATGAGACTATTATTAAATTGACAAAGGTTATTACAGCAGGTAATTAAATGATGATATTGTATTGAAATAAAATCCCTGGAACAGGAACATGAAATTTTTAATCTATGTAAGAAAATCAATGCCGTAATAGGAAAAAACAACTCGATATTGGACAAATACAACGAACTGCTTGGAAAAAAATGAGAGATACTTGAAGATGGAGGGAATACATGGAAAAATTATTCTGGAATACATAGAAGATCAACAGCTAGAGAATTCAGCTCTTCGATATTCAGGACTAGAAATATCTATCAGAGAGGCTACATATGCAATAAAACGACTAAAAACAATAAACAACCGGTACCAGTTAACATACAGATCAAAATACTAAAACTATTTGACGGTAACCAACTCAAACTCTGAAAAAGACTGCTGTATGAAATTTATAAAACTGCTGAATTCCACCTTCATTATTCTTACAAAGGAAAAATGCCATCAAACACTCCTATCACAATATTATAAGCTTAATGAGAAATGCACTTATAATTCTTCTTGGTGCGATTCATTCTTACATATCGTCGTGGTACCTGCAATACGCCGTATGTCATTTTCATGTAACTTTTCAGAAAGGACAAAAAACTTCACATCTTTACAATTCTTCATCAATTTATCCGAAATTTTATTTACTTAAATGAAGTCGCGACCCACAACTTTTTCGGTAGTAAAAACTATCGGTTTTTGTTCAGTATAGGTATCTTCCTCAAATTTACATTTACGAATATCACTAGCATGTACAAAACTTATAATTTTACCTATTTGTACGAAATATGTTGACGCACTTACAACTCGTACTATCCTCTGGACCATAACTTGGTTAATTTATTCTTTACATATACAACTTATATATATTAGCCCATCAAGTGATTCTAGATGCTGCAGCTACTAGAATACTTTTATTCTTTAAGAAAATAAATTGTAAAAGTTGATAGTCAGTCAACAATACAAACTTTCGCCATATATACATATATATATATATATATATATATATATATATATATATATATATATATATATATATATATAGAAACGTTTTAATGCAAATATTATAGCTAAATTCTCACTTTCCAAATTAGAATACCGTTGTTCAGCTGTTGATATTGTACTAGATGCAAACATTATAGGTTTTAGATCACCATCTATTTTGTGGCTCAATACTGCCCCAACTCAATACACATTTGCATCACAAGTAATAACAATTGGAAGGCGAGGGTTATAATGAGTTAATACATGATTTAACATTAGTAACTTTTTACTCTGCTGAAAAGTTTGTTCAGCTTCCTCAGTCCATTCAAATTTCGTGTTTGCTTTGCATAGGTCATATCATGGTTTAAGCTTTGTAGACAACATACTAATAAATTTCCCATAGAAATTAAGAAGATCTAAATATGATTTTAACTGTGTTACATTTTCTGGCGCTGCAGCATTTTTAATACATACAACTTTTTCTTTCGTTGGTTGTAGACCACCTGCATCTATATGACCCAAAAACTCTACACTTGACTTATAAAATTTACATTTACTCCCATGTATTTTTATGTTGTATTCCCCTATTTTTTTAAAACATTAATTACATTTAAGTGACATTCATCTAAAGATGTACCATGAATTAAAATATCGTCTAAATAACATTTAGTCTTTGGGAGATTGGCCAGCACTGTGTCCACTATGGTTTGAAAAATACCTGGGGCTGAGCTTAAGTCATAAGTAAATCTGTTATATCTAAACAACCCCAAGTGGGTGTTAATAGTAAAATATTCTTTCGATTCTTCCCCTATTTCAAGTTGCTGGTATGCTCCTTTTAAGTCTAACACTGGAAAATATTTGCTACCTGCCAAACTAGCACATATAATTTATACCACTTTTTTGACTTTTTAAAAAATAAATTTATTTCAAAACTACAATGAACAAAGTTACGTGTTACAATTTTAATATATAATGAACGAAAATAAAGAACAATAAGTGGTTTTATAATATTAGTAGCTGCTGACTCAGTAGGAACGTGTAAAACCTTGGGTCACGCTGACTCTGCATATACTGCATGTGCAGGGATCCTTATCAGCTTTGGTAGTTGGAATTTGAAACCTGATATCCTGGGAATCGTCGTGATAAGGAACATTGGTTGGTATATACAATGCATATAACATATATCATTAGGCAAAGGTAATACACAGTGATCTCCATCTAAGGCTGTATTTAACGTCTTTTTAAAATCAACAAAAATTCTAATTTTATTTATATTCCTTTTGGGTACAAGATCCATACTGACCATTCTACCTAACTTTTCCTCTACTTTTGGTTTCAATGCATATGGCATTTCATAAGCTCTGTGAAATATTGGTTTCACACCATCCCTCAACTTTATATGTACTTTAAAATCTTTAATAGAAGACATGGGTTCTTCTCTAAAATTTTTGTTAAATTTTGTTTCAACTTTATTTTATTGCTATCATTTTTAACTTGATGTTCACTGCTTATTGAATATAACCTTTCATAATTGATGCCATTTATATTAAAACTGTTTTCCCAATTTGGTAGAATAACACATAACCAGTTACGTTCAAGTAGAGGTAAGAATGAACGATTGCAATTTATAACTACCAAAGGTAAGCAAAATGTAATATTATTAACCGTAACAATTACATCAATTTCTCCTACGATTTCTACATTCTGGCCAGTAACAACTTTTAACTTATACTTTACAGGATACATTTCTAAAAATGACAAGTCTTTTTCATAATCTTTAACATGAATAACACTTTTACATGCTCCAGAATCTACTTCAAAATTTAAAAGCTTACCTTCTATATCGAATGTGGCTTACATGGTTTCTCATGCTCTTGTTTTACATTACCAATAAAACCTAACTCTAAGGAATTTTCCTTACACTCACTATGATCGTATTGCACTGTGTTCACTGAATTTCTTTTCCTGCATGCACGACTGACGTGGACTCTTTTGTGGCAATTGTAATACTCCAAGTTCTTCGCAGGACAACTTTCTGGGTTATGATTCCTTTTACACCCATAACATCATTTCACTAGTACTTGTTCAGGTGACGATTGTTTTGGTAAATTTTTGCTGTTTGTTGCACCCAACTTTGATAACACTGTATCTGACTTCAAAAATCTTGATTGATCTTCTCTCCAAAAATCTTGGGCTTCTTGAAGAGCTCTTTCGAATGTTAAATTACTTTCAGTCAGTAATTTTCTTCTTGTTGTATCTGATTTCAATCCACAAACGAACTTATCTCGTAAGGCTTCATTTAAGAAGTTACCAAATTGACAGTGCTTGGAAAGGTTTTTCAATTTTTGAGCATAATCTCTTAATAGTTCATTTGGCTCCTGTTTACATAAACAAAAGTTATACCTCTCTGCAATGATTAATCGTTTTGGACCCGTGGTAACTCTGGTGCTTATACGCTAATATTTACTTAGCGTATGGCTACATCACAGGTTCATATATATACATATAATACAAATTATATAAATTACAAACAACACTAAATACAAAAATATTATTCTACAAACAAACATCTAGATTATAAATATATTCGATTGACTCTTTTGTAGCAGCCAGGAAATCTGAAGGGTTGCCGTTATAGGATCTAATCGGGCATTCCTCTACCATGTGTTTTATTGTTCGCCTTTCGGCGCCGCCGTCGCAATTTGGTGATTGTATTTTTCCCCATCTAAAAAGTGAGTCGGAACATCTGCCACAGTTCGTCCTTATTCTATTGAGTGTGGTCCAAATTCGTCTCGGTTGGTTGAAGCCCTCAGGTTTGCTTGTAATACATGGCATGTTCCAGTTAGCTGGAATATATACATATATATATATATATATATATATATATATATATATATTATATATATATATATATATAATATATACGCTAATACCTTATAAGCTTCCCCATGCATGAAAGCGAGGAACATAGAAACTTTTTTATTACCTTCCACCATGTTACACTCAAAAAGCTTTTCTATACGCCCAATATATGAAGTTATGTCAGAACTTTTAGGGTTAAACTGCTCAATATTACCAATTAAAGCCATAACCTCCACGGCCCGTAGATCCAATTATCCTCGTCGCCAAATATGTTATATATTTGTAGTATTATAATAAATAAGACTCAACTAACTTCAACTAACTTATTTATTGACCCCCTCACCATTGACATGAAACAGATAACCTCACATAACATAAAACATAGTGGCCTCTTTTCTAAAAGTAGTTTCATAACAGATTCAAATATTAGGGAGAGCGCCCACCAAACTGGCACGGCAAGTGGCAAGTAGCAAGTAGCGAACGTCTAGCATGTTACGTAAAATGTAACCAATGAGAACAAATGATTCAGCGCACACCAAAATGACAGTGACGTAATTCATTCTAATCATTAGTTTCCATTGGTTACATTTTAAGTAACATGCTAGACGCGTGCTACTTGCTAGTTGCGACTTAACACGCCAGTTTGGTGGTAGCTCTCACTTAAATGAATCTGGTATCGACGACAAATATTTATGCCTAACCAAGAATTGAAACTTACAACAAAAGGTCTTTGTACTAGTAGGTAATGAAACTTTAAAATAATTTTCAATACAACGGGGAGTTTAATGTTTTCGAGGCGGCAAGAAACGTCGAAGAAAAGAAGCCGAGGACGACCACCGACTAGATGGATCGATGATATAAAACGTGTAGCAGGAAACTGCCTACAAGCGGCCCAGTGTAGAGAACACTGGAAAGAACTGAGGGAGGCTTATGTCCAGCAGTGGACGCGATTAGCTGAATGATGATGATGAAGAAACGTCGATATCTATAAAAAAGAACCAGAGACACAGTTAACATCCCCTTCCCCCTCCACCGCTCCCAAGAGTTTTAAAGCCGGCCGATTTTGAGGACCACATTTTAAAACTTTTTGAAGATTCCATTAAAAGGCAATTTT